CATCTTAATAGGTTTGACTTGCTCGGGATATTTTTCCTCACAGTTATAGATTGATTACTAGGGGTCAGTACTTCCCTTTTCTTCTGGAGCTATTTTGTGTTTTCCTTTGCTAGATAATTGATGAGGCCCTCTGAAGAATCTGTGTGATTTGGCAAGTGCAAGCTGCCTCCTTGTGTGGTTGTTTAGAGGATGTTTTACCCTCAGCTTAGACCTCATGCTCTGGGCTTACATCATTTGTAAAATGTTCTCCCACAGTCCTGACACGCACAGAAACTTTGGCAATACTAGTGGACATTTCAACTGTGAAAAGTTAATACCAAGGCTTTAATCAGCTCCGCATTTTTAGGGCCAAGATACTGTACACAAATTCCTGCAGCTGTAGGTAATGTTGGATTTCTACTCTGAAGAGAGTAGAAGAGAGTGCAAGGGAGTGACTCTTCCTTATTTTCAAGAACATAGAAAAGGATTTGATTTTATTTTAATTGCAGGTAGCTCTTTAGATGAGGTCTGAAGATGTTTACCAGTTGATTTAGTTTGGCCAGAGTGGAGGTCCAGAAAACTGTTAAATAAGTTTTGGAACCAAAAATGAAAAGAAACCTTAGTGATATTTACTGGGGCAAATAGTGGGGAGATGGGAAGAATGAACCTTCAGTTCAATCAAGCACTTGGTAACTGTTCCCAAAATTTATTATAAAAAAAAGGGGGTGGGAGTGAATGCATCTGAAGACTTAGCTTTTTTATTGCTACTGATTTGGGACCTCATCCAGAGTTTGCTGAAATCCAGTTGAGTTCCTGATGTGCCAGAGTAGGTGTTAAATGGGGAACAGACAGCTGCAGTCCTGTACGCTTTCATAAAAGTCATATCTACTGTCTCTGATAGGAGAAGCCATAGACACTGTAGTAGCTGTCAGCTATGCAGCTTTCATGCTGATCCAAAGTCTTGTCTTGGGACCTGTTTGGGTCATCTTCTGCTAAGGATTCAGGCAACCTGCCCAAGTTCAGACCACTGCAAA